TATTACAAATCTTAATTAATGCTTTTGCCTTTTGGAAGAAAACATTTATAAATCTCTGATCCACTTTCTTTTACAAAATTTCCTATACAAAATACTTGGCAAGAGCCTGTATGGTGACCTGGAATCTGGCGTCCTGAAAGTTTAAAAGCCTATTTCTGTAACTGGATGCAAAACTCTAAAGTGAAAGAAACTGTAACTTGTACTACCCATGAATTATTAGCATTGTAAATTATGCTATTTGATACTGTGTTGCACGGCAATCTACAGTGAATTATTGTGTGTTTATACTTCACCCCTTACTTTGTTTTCCCTGCCACCCTGTTAACCATTTGCCCTGGGATTTCAGACCTCTTGTCTTACAGCTCTGCTGTAAATATTTGACCTCTCATTCTCTCATTTGTCTGTTTTCTCCTGCTGAGTCTTTTCCTCTTCTCATAAAAGTCAGCTGGAGAGACATCAGGCCATTGAGCAAAAGCCTGTCGTGGGCAGCTATCCAAGTTGGGCTGTGAAGCTCTGCCCCTCCACAGGTCACATCCTGACAGAGGATGCTGCCAGCATGGCAGGCTCTAGGCAGAGGGAGATTTCCTCTAGAGAGGACAAGGGTCCTTCTACAGCCAGCTGTTACCAGGGAGAGACTAGTAAACAAGGCAGATGCATAGCACCTTGCCTAAATGGCATTAGAGGTTCAGTGTAAAATCTGCTTATGACACTAGTTTCCAAAATTACTTCTCCCCGGACAAAAAAAAAGTACAACACTTTGAGGAATATTAAGAATCTTTTATTTCCCCCATGCATTCACCTTTGTTTCACTGCAGGATGTTTTGACCTTTAAAAAGAAGATTATGAAAATAATAGGTCCAATAGCCTAAAGGACTTCTGCAATCCATATGTATATTCATTCTGTGTTGGTTAATGAAACACTTGGAAAAAGAATGAAAGTGAAGGTTCAGGTAGTTTCTTACAAGTGTGAGACATTAGATCAGTTTCAGGAAGAATAAAATCTGCAGTAAAATGGCTCAAATACAGGTATACTACTACACAGCCATTTGCAAGGGTCTTTTCATTATTACAGCACATCGGTTAGGTTACAGATCTGGTAGCTGTAACATAAACAAACAAAAATTCAAAGTAGTACACATAGGGGAAAAAATCCACAAAACAGAAAAAAAAAACCTCCAAAAACCCAAAACTTAAATATTTCTTTATTTTGATAGCATCTGTTGTTTAACAGCATCACTTTAGCCGAAATAGTCTTTAAATGGTCAAGATTAATTTAGCTTTACAAAGATTCTCTCTGACCTTTGCACTGCCTGGGTTACAGCAAGACACATAATAGCTGCCGGTGAGGGCTCCAGTCTTACAAGCCCTGAGAGAACATCCTGCCACAGATAGTCCCCTTATTTAGATAAACTGTATGGCCAAGGTTTTACAGTTCTGTTCCAGAGCTGTTTTCTGACAGTTTCATCTAATATTCTCACCACCTCCTTCCAGACTATCTTTAATTCCCAAGACCAGAGAGAGCCTCTTATTTTTCCCATTACAGTGACTCCTTGACTTGCCTTAGAATTAATAGGCCCTGTGCTCTTACCATGCTTTCTTTACTTCCCTCAGCACATGACTGGGGATCTATATTTCCTTTTGTTTCTGTAAGCTGATTCTCTTCAGTAAGACTTGCTTACTCCAGTCAATACACAGGCTTGGAGCACATGATAAAATTGATTCCCCTGACTAGTCCATTGGACGCCTGGCCTTTTATAGATTCTTATCACCTGCCTGGGCTAGTCACAGGTAATGGCTCTCAGAATAAACCTTTTGGGCTGTTTTAGTTTTTACGAGACAGTTACTCATTACTGCTGCCACGTGGGAGCCACTTCTCTCATGCTTTGGATGATATGGGGAGTATCACCAACTAAATCATTTATCTGAGAGAGCAAGATAAACGTTGATGTGTCAGATGTACTGCATTTTATTGTAACTCCATCAAGTGAGCTTTTAGACACTCCAACACAGGTGCCATGCTAGTAATGTTTTCATGATCTCCAAAGCCTTTCTAAGACTATTTCTACATAGGTTTTGTGGGAAGTTTAGTTATTAAGTTGCCTGCAAGCAGGCCTATGCTTTCTTCCTTAAATAAAATACAGACATTGGAAACTGCAAATAGAAAGTTATCTTGAAGACAGATGTTTTAGTACAGCATTCAGCAGAAGCTTGCTTACAGCTTATGTCAAGATATCCATACAAGTAAGGCTTCAGAAAAAAAAAAGTTAAATTAATAGTTATTACATTATGGTCGTTTAACAAAAAAGTTTGTTAATATTTCTGCTAAATGCAAAGTTGCTTTGCATATTAAAGAGAAATGAAGATACAGACTGAATCATTTTTATGCAGCTAAAAGAAGTTAAGATCAGAACTATGTAAGATCAGAAATCAGTGTCAAATCCTGGATCTAAAGGAAATATGTTTTAGCATGTAGCTCTCAGTGCTTTATGAAAGTGGCAACAGAAATTTGCATTGTGAAGAAATCTATAAGCAAATTATATGTTCCTACACTCACGTTTATTCGTATGACAAGTTCCACTTGTCAGAAATTTACAATAAAAATTATGAGGCTTAATTAATCCACTTCACTGACTATAAATTGTCCAACAACTTAAGATAACAAGTAAAAGGAACAATGTCAGTTGCATTTTGTTACAACTTATTTAGTAAGTTCTAATAAATACAAAACCAAAGTATTCTTACACAAAATGTATTTTTTCAGTGTTTTGAACTCAGAAATCATTAGTTTCAGGCAACAGACAAAATTTGCTGAGTAAGCTTGGAAGGCAGATAATAGTCATCTATCTGGGCTTTACTATTAGATTACAGTCAACATGAAAAATAAAAAACGTGAGAAAAAAGTGTTTGACCACGAGACCTGAAATAGTCATTGTTTTAAAGCCGGCTGAAGTGGCTGGGTGCAGGTAATCTGGAGGCACTTTTGGAGTTTAATTTCCTCCATCAATATAAGATTTTTTTAATAGTTGTTTCTAACTTCATGACTGCTTACATCTCAATTAGTCAGAAGAGATGATTACATAGACATGCAGCTATACACACAAATACTTTCTAATTATTTTCATTTGTGAACCTTTCTCCAGAACTGAACAGGAACCAGAGATAAGGAAAGTTTGGAAAGTTAGTTATCTTCAGTTTTGCAGAAAACTAATTGTTTCAGTCATGCTTTAAATTTCACATGACAGAGAGAAGAAAATTCTGTATTGGGGGAGGGTAATTTTGCTGAAAGCAGTGTTCAGTGCTAAAATATCAAAATGCCTTTTGGGGCACAAGCACTATTCCACCAGGGAGAAAAAAACAGACAACATCTTCACTGAGCAGCTGTGGCCAAAGTAGAAAACACTAAAAATGGACTGAATTTACGAGCACATAGGTTACTGCATGAAGTTAATCACAAATTATGAATATTCTTACAATTCCGGCAGTTCGCATGCACATTTTAACCTTCCCCCCCCAAAAAAAAGTTCTTCCTGGACGCTTTGAAAAGGAACAAAAGCTTTTAAAGTATCAGAAAAGTCTTCAGAAAAACTCTGCATGAGAGTCCTCTGCCATAACATTAGGACAAAGCTGGAGCTTAACACTCACGTTTAGCTACTGCAGGTCTGAATGCTGGACACAGCTGAATCCTTGGCTGTACTCACAGCCCAAAGAGGGCATGCTGGGTGAACTGGAGGAGCAGGTTCATAACTCTGAGCAAAAGCCCATGTTTTAACTGAACTGGACCAGCCTGCTGGTATGTGTTAAAGAAGCTTAAGGCTTGCTCTTATTTATATGGCATACCAGTTATCATAAAGACTCAGAGATCACCTGGATATTATCTGGGTTCATAACCTAGGTTCTCTCAGAAAGTTACAGCTGGCAAAAGTGACACCAGTTTTTTCCCAGCAGATTTTTCCCAGATCTGTGAAGTTACATGTTGCTTTAAAGTAGCAGAGCTGCAAAAAATTAACTGGAACACAGCTCGGAACTGCAACAAACTGATTTTTCACTTTGGCTTTTGAGGTGCCGGCTATAACAGGTGTAAAAAAGAGTAGCTATCCTCAAACAATTTTCACGTCTAAAACACAGCTTGCTCAGCCCTCTGGTTGGTGGTCCACTGTCTAAAATTGCTTATTATCGGTTGAAACTGAGCAGCAATGAAGTGATGCAGAATGTGGAGTTTGCTGCATTGTATTGCTTAAAGAGCAAAGTTGCTTTCCCAAGACTGGTGGCCACAGCTCTAGGCATCCAGTGGAGCACGTGTCAAAGTTATCTCTCAAGTCTAAATACGCACAGACTTCCTGCAGAATAAGGAGCCTATTCAGACTGCAGACTTACTGCACCATATGTGCCTCATTAATTATTATTCTTCATGTTTTAATTGTTATTATTTTACTGTGCCCAAGAGGAATATAGATTTTATGTCAGCTGTTAAAGACACAATTAGAAGAACTAGGCTCAAAGGAGTAGCAGAGGCAGATGGTATACTGGCAGTTAAATTTATAAAACTCTTCTCTCAAGTCTTGCCAGGAAGCAGAATAGCTTTCTGCTCTTTTTTTTCTTTTTCTTTTTCTTTCAGGCAAACAGTTTATTTCAAGATGAGTTTGCTGTATGTGAGAGGGTAGAGCAGTACGATTGGGTTTCTCATGAGTTCTGACATTCAGAAAAAAACCACAAGAAGCAAAAATTCTTTTGACTGAGTCACAAATCGTTTATTCATAAATTCTTGCCACAGAGGAACCTCCACCAGTTTCTAAACCAAATAATACATGCCATGTGTCCAGCTTCTTTTCTGTCTGTCACGTTTCTAGTTAACCTTGTTAACTGGGTTAGTGGAAAAACACTGGTATAATGTAACACAGGCAGTGACCTGCCAGATGACCTATGCAGATCAGGTGAAGAATATCAATTTCAGGGTTGATTGGGGGTGTGAATAGGACCACTACTGCTAATAAAAACTAGGGATCACATCCCTCACAGAAAAGCAGTAGCCTTTGGAGGTACCAGGAGCTGATCTGAACTGCAGGTGAGAGTGCAAGTGCTCACATACCAGAAAGAAGAAAAAAAGTTTACTGAAAGGGCAAGTAAGTAAGGCTGTCAGGCAGCTAGGATTACTTGTTTAAATGGCATTTTGGGTCAGGAAGCAGCTGGTCTTAAATAAGCAAATACTGCTTAGAAATGAGTATTGTGCTCCATAAATATGGTGATATACAGGAGTTTGAGGATTTAAAGACCAAAAAGATGTTACAGAGTTTTCTATTTTTCTGCTGATAAAATGTGGTAAAATTAGGAAAAATTATATTAGAATTTGTAAATATTATACGAATGAAAGTTGTCAAAAAATGTATTTTTTATATAGGATAATTTGAATACACTTACGCTCCCTGCAGTGGGCAAGATTCTGCCAGTTTATGTATAAGAAAGTTTTTGCAACACCCACATTTCCCATGCAGAGTATTTGAAGGCTCGGCTAAGCTGCATACTGAAGAGCTTTAGTTTCACGGACACATTATTTAGCTATGCTTGTACGGTCTCCTCCTTTCTCTAGCACCTATACACAGCAAATACTTTATCCTGTGCACTTTTACCCAAGCGCTGCATGGATGGGTGGATGAAACTGAGACCTCTCTTGCTTTGCTGCTGCCTGTGCATAGTAGAGTGGCGCCAGCCACATTCACAAGAATCTTCTTACGAGCCTCCAGTGAGTTGACCAGACCTGGTGAAAACACACGTTTCAGATATTTTTTTTTGGGGGGGGAGAGGAGAAAAAAAGAAAACGTTCATGGATTCTGACATTCTTTCCAGTCACTTTAAAGAACAACTGAATGTTTTCAAATATTCCAAAATGTAAAAAGGAATAGCTTGTTTCAGATAAGTAAATCAGTTATGTCTTTCCCATCTAACTTATTGGCCCAGGCAATGGAAGGGATATATACTATACCAGAGAGAAGAAACTGTTACTAGTGAAGTGATTAGTCTGTAAGCCCCCAGAAAAGGAGCCCCAACATTATCAGTATATTGCTCTGCTTTCTTTCTTCAAAGGATTCAAAAGTGCAATTAGCTATGCAGAAACATAACTAAACAGTTCAAGTCCCCTTGAGTTTATGTGGAAATGTGACTGGGAACCTGATTGATCATAGGTTCCTGGGTCCAACAGTCCCTTTCGTCAGTTCATCGTCATCATCTGAAAATTGACACACATTTTTTCCATATCATTTTTATGCAAAAGCTCTTTATCTATTGCCTCACAGTTTCTTGTACCCATGTTACAGTTTAGCTTAAATAACTCATGTTCTGCCCATTGGAAGTAAACCTAGAGTGGGTGTTGCTGGGGGACACTCTGGTGGCCACTGGAGAGGAAGGAGACAGGAAAGACATCCAGACACGGCTCCTTCACACAACAGACCTGTGCACTGTGGTGATGTTTATGGAGATCTTAATTCTTACCAGTGTTATCAGGAACATCTCCAAGGCCTATATCTATGCTGAGAATCAAATCAGCATCAGGAATAGATCCCTAGCTTGAAAGCCAAAAACAAGGTACAGACAACTTTGTGTGCACTTTGCTGACAGCAAGCCTCTCCTGTGCTAAATTGCCTTGCAGTTAATTCTGATTTTCCTTCTGGGATTTCTCTCTGGTCAGACTATGGGTTTTGGTTTTGTGTGTGTGTGTTTGGGTTTTTTTGTTGGTTGGTTGGTTGTTTTTTTTTTTTTTTTGTGACTTTTTTTTTTGTTTTGTTTTGCTTTTTTGGGGTTTGGTGTTTTTTGGGGTTTGGCGTTTTTTTTGAACTGTAAAGATTATCACGCCCCAAAGCTTTTTTGATCAAATCAGCAACAAGATGTGACAGTCTCAGATGTCTCAGAGATACGCATCATAGAAGATGTCTTCGGAAGAGGAAAGGAAGACCGTACTGATGTCAGTCTTCCTCTGGCATTCCTCTGGTGTACCTCTGGAGGGCAATGTCTAATCTGACACCTGAGGGTCCATGTGAGAGAGAGGGATTGGCAGTACCTTCACTGTCACTTGAAAGATAAGAGACACCAGAGAATCCAAATGAGAGATACAAACCAGATACTAGACTTCCTTAATTCTGATGAGGTTTATAAAGGCCATGGATTTAGAGCAAGAAGGTAATAAAGGAAGGACTAAATTCTTGACCTGGTTAATAGTAAATAAACACTGAACTGCTGTGCATGTCAGCTCTGTGCCTGAGAGCTCCAATAAATGTTTGGCTTCTGTAAGACTAGGGAGATGAGGAGTTCACAGGTGTGAGGTGCTTTTACCAATGTTGCTTTAGTACCAGTGATGTTACCTCAGTCTTTATTCTGTCCCATTGGCAACCAAATGGGAATATAGCCGTGAGTGATCACCTAGCTGTGCTGCTTATGCACCTCTTTCCAGTCAAAATGTGCTGAGTTATTCAGAATCTTTTTAAAATGCCTAAATTAAACTAACTTGTTCTTCTCAACCCTGGGGATCCCTCATAATAAGTTTAGAAATTTTTAATAGTTAATCTGAGCAACCCAACTTGTTTCACCTGAACTGTGCAAAAGGAGCATTATCAGCAAAATGTCAAGAGTGTGTGTCCAACAGCTGGGGAACAGCTGGCAAGTGGTGACCCTCTCAGCAGAAACAGCTGTTCACAGAACACACCTGTTGATGCCTGTGTTTCATTCACCCTTATATCCTAGTAAAGTGGCATGGGGATGTGTACACTGAAATGTTAGCTACCTCAGAACTAGGAAAGTAGTCATCTTCTTTGGGCGTCTTGAGAGATGAAACATCTAGGAGGTAAAGGTAATAGAAACAGATGATGTGAATTAACTAATTGGAGTGTGAATGAATAAACTGTGTGTATGCCTGTCTTTTGGGTGCTATGCGCTTAAACACTCAATTTACATGAGCTAGCTGATGTTTAGAATACTAAATTAGGGAGGATAATTCTCACTCTTCAGATACATTAATTCTATTTTTTGTATATGTAAAATATGTGAAAAAAATTGAAAATGCCCATAGATATATAGCTATGGGAGATATTTTCTCTGAAGAACTTTGACTTTCAAAAAAACCAAACGATATCAGAAGGAAAATCTGTGTTTATATAATTTCTCAGACAATCTAGCAAGAATTAAGGAGGTATTGGAATTAAAGATAACCACTCACTATTCTCTGACCTAGACAGATAATGGACTTAAAATTTCCTGAAGTGTCTACCAGAGATAGTCTTTAAAATAATCAGATCACATTTTATGTTGTTTTTCTTTTTTTTTGAATCTCCAAATTCTGCAATGACATTTTAAAATAAAAATGAAGAATTGTACAGTATGTAATTCCTATATTAATGTCTGTATTTCAGTGTGTGTACATGCATTCCCTGTGGTGGATGATGCATTGCAATCTTTATAATAAAATAACACAAAATTTGATATGTAGAGTATTATAAAAATAATATTAATGGTTACACATTCACTATTGTTCCTAGTAGGGAAATAACAATAAAAGTAAGATATTAGTCAGTAAGTGATTTTGTAATTAATTTTGGTTTTTCAAAGGTACTTCTGAAACAAAGAAGTAGAATCAAAGAATAGAATCATAGAATAGTTTGGGTTGGAAAGGACCTTAAGATCATATAGTTCCAACCTTCCTGCCATAGGCGGGGGCACCTCACACCAAACCATGTCACCCAAGGCTTTGTCCAACCTTGAACACTGCCAGGGATGGAGCATTCACAACCTCCCTGGGCAACCCAATCCAGATCCTCACCACCCTCACAGTAAAGAACTTCATCCTTAAATCCAGTCTAAACTTCCCCTGTTTAAGTTTGAACCCATTACCCCTTGTCCTCTCACTATAGTCCCTAATGAAGAGTCCCTCCCCAGCATCCCTATAGGCCCCCTTCAGGTACTGGAAGGCTGCTGCTATGAGGTCTCCAAGCAGCCTTCTCTTCTCCAGGCTGAACAGCCCCAACTTTCTCAGCCTATCTTCAGGAGGTGCTCCATTCCCCTGATCATCCTCGTGGCCCTCCTCTCGACTTGTTCCAACAGTTCCATGTCCTTTTTATGTTGAGGACACCAGAACTGCACACAATACTCCAAGTGAGGTCTCATGAGAGCAGAGGAGAGGGGCAGGATCACCTCCTTCCACCTGCTGGTCACGCTTCTTTTGATGTAGCCTAGGACACGGTTGGCTTTCTGGGCTGTGAGTGCACACTGAAGCTGGCTCATGTTCATTTTCTCATCAACCAACACCCCCAAGTCCTTCTCCACAGGGCTGCTCTGAATCTCTTCTCTGCCCAACCTGTAGCTGTGCCTGGGATTGCTCCGACCCAGGTGTAGGACCTTGCACTTGTCATGGTTAAACTTCATCAGGTTGACATCAGCCCACCTCACAAGCATGTCAAGGTCCCTCTGGATGGCATTCCTTCCCTCCAGGGTATCAACCGAACCACACAGCTTGGTGTCAACGGCAAACTTGCTGAGGGTGCACTCAATCCCACTGTCCATGTCAGCGATGAAGATGTTGAACGAGACCGGTCCCAGCGCTGGGACACCACTCATTATTGGTCTCCAGCCAGACATTGAGCCAGTGTGTGCGGCCATCCAGCCAGTTCTTTATCCACCGAGTGTTCCACCTATCAAATCAATGTCTCTCCAATTTAGAGACAAGGATGTCATGTGGGACAGTGTCAAACGCTTTGTACAAGTCCAGGTAGGTGACATCAACTGCTCTACCCCTGTCCATCAGTTCCGTAGCCCCATCATAGAAGGCCACCAAATTGGTCAGGCAGGATTCCCCCTTAGTGAAGCCATGGTGGCTGTCACCAAGCACCTTGTTGATTTTCATGTGCCTTAGCATGCCTTCCAGGAGAATCTTCTCCAAGATTTTGCCAGGCACAGAGGTGAGACTGATTGGTATGTAATTCCCTATGTCAAATTACAGATGCAATTCATCTGTATTTTAGAAGTGACAGTAAAATAAAGGATTTTGGGAATTTTTTTTTTGTACCGTTGTTTCATAAAGTTTTG